TTATGGTCGTTGCGTTTTTATGTTTTCCTCATAAAATTCCGTATTACGCATGAGCATCTTTAAAGTTGTTTACACGCCTAACAGCAATACGGAAGAAATGGCAGATATGGAAAACGCTTAGTAAAAAGTTCAGCCATTCAAAACATAACTCTTGATGTGGATATGGCTTTAAAACTTGGAAACAGTTGTCTAATAAACAGGCAAATAAATCGGGAATACACTGCTTACATAATATTATTGGAAATAAATTGTTTGCTCTCATAACATTTAATATTCTGCAATATAATCGATAGACAAGATTTGCTGTACATTTTCCTCAACGAAACCGTTGCATATTAATTTAATGGTTGTAAAAGCAAATCATGCTGATAGTATATTGCATGTTTATTTAGCTTATTTCTTATTCAATTCATTGGCAGTGCAAATGAAATGTGAATTAGTTTCTTAGTAGCATGCAACAAAAACAAACTGACAGTAGAAGGTAACTGTGTGCGGATTTGACTTCTTAGGCATGCCTGGTCTTACAGCCGATTTCGAATGAGTCGAGTATTGACAAATTAGCCATTGAAGTCCATTGTAGTAGCAAAGAAGCTGATGCTGCAATGCTTCACCACACGCATTAAGGATACTTTATTTGTTGAGCAACGCTTGCAACATTACTCCTTTGTGAATATTACTAAATAATAGCTATCCAGATGTGTGTGAGCTGACACCTCTCGTACGGATAATATATCGCTGTGACTACCTAGGGGGATTCCATTTAAAAAAAAATCTTAGTAGAAAATATATTATTATTATTTTTAAATAAAAGCTAGCTTAAAATGTAAGCTACTTAATTAAGATTGATTGATATCTTAATTTCTATTTCGAAAATGTTCTTCTTTTTCTTCGCGCATTGCATTCTTTGTTTTCTAAACGAAATTTTAAGACAACGGAGATGGGATATGAGTTGGCTGAGTAATTAGATCTTTGTCTGGAAAGGAATGATCGTGACGTGAGAATGAGGCCCACAGGTTTTTGTATAGTCGAATCGATAATGTTTTTATGTGTTATTGTAACATAGATCTGAGTCTTGTGATGTGGCTCAAGGCCGAATACTTTAGCTTGGCATTCTAATTTTCTGATTTGAATGTTGAGCATTTTTATAGTTACCAAGTAGATAAAAATCTATATCCTCATCTTTATCTAATTAAAATAATTGTTTCATTTATACCAAGCTAAGTATTTGCTTCTAAAATTATGTAAATATTTTCTATTGTATGTATTCTGGCTGGTAAATCGTTTAACTCCTTTGTTCATTTTGTATATTTAGCACAGAGTTTTGTTTTTAAATTTGAAATGGAATTTTAAAAATTTCCTGCCATCACCTTAAACACTTTTTTGTATATAAGGGACAAGTGTATGCTTTTCCACCATTATCTAATTGACTCGAAAGGCTCATTACAGATTGTACATTTCCACTTTGAGCGCGTATTTCCATTGAAAAGCCACATCCGTCGTCCATCAGTGTCGGCAGCGAGAAAAGCATTTCTCAAATTGTTTTGTCGCTGGCGAGTCACGACTGCAGAAAAATGCAGAGGAAATCACTTTGCTTAAATTCCAATTGCACTACGCAGAGTTCGCTGCGTTTCTTCCACTTTGCTTCTTTTTTTATGGCCGTTTATCCATTTCGTATTTTCTTATGCCAGCTGTCGGTCGCGCTGCCTCCTTTTATTTTTATATAATTTTATTTTATCATACACTATTTTTGTTTTATTCGCTCTGGTGACGACATTTTGTGGAGCGGCGATACAATAACGACATTCCGCGAATATTTTTCCACTTTGCCGCTTTTATTTTTATGCATTTGCTGTGTTTTTTTAAATGGTCAGATGGGCGAGGAAGCTGTGGACAGGGAAGGGGACAGGCACTGGGACGGGGACGGGGATCGGGAAAACACAAATTGTTTTGCGCATTTCATTTTGTGTATGTTTTGTTTAAATTTGCATTTAGTTTGTCTATGCCATGCACTCGTTTTATCCATTATTTATTGACTTTATTTTTACACCAAGCTATTAATGCTGTTGCACTTTCGGTTTTATTTTCATTTTAATTTTCATTTGATGCTCTAACGTTTTATGCTCGAATTTTATGGCCTCTAGCTATTGACTTAATTGTGTGTCAGAGACAATTTTCCTCCTCACTTAGCGAGCATGTTCAACAGCTGATTTCAAATTGTAGTGCAACAGCAGCTATATGACGAAAAAAGAAAATAACGACTCAACGCCCCATGATTTTCTATAGCAGTGCGCTCAATTCTATGAAGTTGTTGTCGTTAAAGCTATAAATATCAAAAGGGAAGTGGGAGGGCGGCATTGGAAATCTGTAGCAAATCTGTAAGAACAAAATGTTCGAATGTTGACTTTAATATACGCTTTATACAAAGGCACTTGGAAAACATTTCTGATTTTTTAAGAAAAGACTTAATATATGTACTTATAGAGCTAGGGGGTAGGGAATAGGTCTAACAGTGAAATCAGTTAATACACATAAAATACTTCTGTTTTACGATAATCTATGGTGCAAAATATCTTCAAATGTAAAAGTAACTTACTTTCCTTCGAAGCAAATATGTGATGTCATAAATATATTTAGATTTGGATAAATGATATTTATTTTTTACTTTAAACAAATCTCGTCTGCTGTTAGTTGTATTTAAATATTTTTAAAACATTGTCTTGGCAAAATTTGAAGATAGTTTTCGACTTGTGAATCGATAAATCGCCCCATTTCTGTTTGATCTGCCTGTTTTGGCTTATGAAGGTGTTACAATCAAGGGCGCAATGCCAATAGCACTACAATGGATAGAGTGTAGAGAAGGCAAACATTTGTCAATATTGACTTTATTAGCCGCATATACAAGCTCACAATCACAACCACACACACACACACACACACACACTGCAAAGTACAACCACTTAATTGTGTGTCAAATTTATGTTCGACCATTTCGATAGCCATTTTCACGGTTGCTTAAGTACTGGAAAAACTTGCCCGCCCACTGCTGGCTAACACCTAAAAAGGTCAATTTAATGTTGGCAAGCCATGTACCTTGACACTCATGTGCTGCACACACACACACACACTCACACACAAGCCCACACACACACACACACACTAATAGAGAAGTGTGTAATAAATAACAAAATCATTTAAGTGAATTTTATTTTGTTTGCCTTTTGGCACACATTTTTTTCGTTCGTTCTTTTTAGTTTCCTTTTGGTATTTGCTTTTCATACAGAAGGAAGGTTTTCTATTCGCTTGTATTTTTCTTAAATTTACTTGTTCTACGTATTTCATTTGTAATCGTTGTGTTGTTGTTGTGGGAAATGCTTTTAGTGCGCGTGAGCATTATGTTTATTTTGATATATACACACACACATACATACATATATTTTTATATGTACACATATACTGACAAACACACTTCGTCACACATTCTAAGTTGCCACACATGTGTCCCGCATGTTTTTTTTTATGCTCGTAAAAAAGTTTAAATGCCTTTTGGCTTTTGCGTATTTTTAGTTTTCATTTTCTCTATTTTTTGTCTCTTTATTTTTGCATTGCGTATTTTGTTTGCTCTTGCCGCTTCTATCATAAAATTAGCTTGCGCCACAGCTACTGTGCGTTGAGGAGAATGGGAAAAACTAATTGAATTTTCATTGGTATTTTTATGATTAATCGTCATGGGAGATTTTGTTGCTGCCGCTTTTGGTTTTGTTTATTTTGAACCAAATGAGAAGAAACTGGCACTAAAATTTCAAAGCAGCTGCCATGGAAAACTCATTTGGCATACGAGTACATGCTGGGAAAGAGGGGGAGGGGGCGGCCATGAATGACGGCCGTTTGTTCTGCTGCGCTTTTCATACGGACAACAACAAAGTCGCTTTTATGGCATGTTCTTACGCTCTATTAGAGCGTCATTCACTTGAGAATGTTTCTAATTGAGTGTGCGGTCGGTAGTTCATCAAATGTCCGCATTTTGACAATGATGATGAAAGCGAGGGTTTATCAATATATGTATGGTATGTACGTTGTGTATGCTGTCTATAAATATATTTATGTCTTGCGGGCATAATTGACTTCTTCAAGTAGGCAGGAATATTGGCTGAGCATTCTATTGATGTGTTTATTATGTGATGGCAGCCATGCTGTTACATATGTTTGCCACATAAAAATTCAAATTGAAGTTGAAAATAATATGCAAACGAATGATTGATAGGTTAGTCTATATGCATCGAGCGTGCCATTAAAAAAAAAAACCGAAAATTACTCAGATTCGGTTTTATTTCAATTCAATATCGATTTCCTAATAGCGGTATCAATTTGATTGGATTACAAAAATGTCTAAGAACATTATTCTATGATGTTTAGATCATTTTCATAACTTGAAACATAGAAGATTAGAAAACAGTACCTAAAAAGTTACAGCTGATTTCAGGGCGTGAGATAGGGACTTCCTTGATGGTTCCCAGATTCTTTGATTAAGCCATTCTGATTGAAACTTAGCAGAGTGTAGTTTTGGATTTTCTGCGCTTTCGCTCCCTGACAAGTTGGTAGAAGTGTTTGATAAATAACTTATTGCTTGTTGCTTATTTCAAGTCAAAGTTTAATTGCAGTATAGTGCACTGAATTTAAAAAACAACCTAGTGCACCACAAAAGCACGAACCAATAAATGTAAGCGGTACTGGGAGTCGTAAATTCTACTATTCAATATAAACACAATACCTTAATATTTTCTATGGCCAACAAAGGCAGACATTCCAAAAATGCGCATAGAAAAACACATAGATATCAGAATGAACATCACGGGAAATGTCCGGAATAAAAGAATGCTGCATTCAATTCATTTTAGGGGCTTTAGTATTTCATTTAATTTGTTTTTGTCTTTTGTCTCTCCCCCCCCCCCCCCCCATTTTGGGTCCAACGATAAAGTGAATGAAAGTACGCATTGTAGCAAATGGAATGCAATCGTGCTCCGGAGCCGGAAGAACGCGGGCAACATAAGCCTGGACAAAGCGACATGCTAAACATTTCAAGTAAATAAAGTAAGAAACTATTCAATACAGACAAAAGCAAGGCCAGGCACAGGCACAGGCACAGGAACAGGCCGAAGCTGAGGAAAAAGTGTTTGTGCAGTGCAACAAAGTGCAAAAAATGTGAGCGATTTGGGCGAAATAAAGAACAGAACTAAAACACAATTAACAACAAAAGTAAGCAAGACAAAGCAATGTGAGAAGTTGCAAGGAGAAGCTGTGCAGCGAGAAGAAAGCACACGACCAAATTAAAATTGAAAATAACAAGAAAATACGCAGCGAACGAAGAACAAAAGCAACAGCTAAGGAATAGGAAAGGAAAAGCGCCATGAAATTTCGTTTGGAAGCATTTTGGTTATTTCTGTTGACAGTTGTTGGCGTCGTGGAGCTGCCGGGCAATCACAAGCAATTAGGCGCTGATTGTTGCCGGGGGCGCTCGTTGCTGAGGGGCGTGGCAGGCGGCGCCATTGCCATCACAGCTGCAACAACAACAGTAGAAGCAGTAGAAGAAGCGACAGCAGTGCCACCAAAATCAATCGCTGAGACACACAAAGGAAATGAGCTGGAAAATGCAACGAAATTGCGTGAGACCACAAAGCAAGAGAATGCTTTTATTGGGGACATCACAATAGCAACAACACCAATAAATATAGCAGCAACAACAAGTTTGCCGGATGCAACTAGCCTGGCAAGCAACTCCATAGTCCATCAACTATTTAAGCAGGCCAAGCCACGCGAACAGCCCGAAAAATTTGAATTGAACCTCAGGCAAAAATTGGCTCTTCTGCTGGCCAGTGAAGAGGAGCCACCGGAGGCGGAGACCATCCACAGTAATACCGATAAAGAGTCCAGCACATCCACCACCCATCATCCCGAGCGTCGACATGCAGTGCCGGACAAGCTGCAGTACACCAAGGAGATACAAATCAAACAGGGTCGTCTTATGGGCATCACCAGACGCTTCCAGTTGACAACAGGACTACGCGATGTGGATCAGTATCTAGGCCTGCCCTATGCAGAATCTCCCATTGGCAGTCGTCGCTTTATGCCACCGGGTGAGTACAAAAAGTACAGAGCAGGCTGCTTAAGGGCATATCTGCTTTACCTGTGGTTTTCCCAGTAATTTTATTTTTTTAGTTTAATACATAATTGATAAATGATCATCAAGTTAGCTTTTCAAGATTTTTGAATTACAATAGAAATTTTTCCTTAAATATATAGTATGTTTCGCGACATATTTGGTGGACATGTGTGCATCCATAGAAAGTTTAAACTAAAATTCAATTTATTTTAAACTGTACATTATACTTAAAGAATCAGCTAATTTATATTTATAGATGGTTTCAATTCGTTTCTTTTTAAAATATAACAGAAAATTTAACAAATTTGGTTTGAACATAGCTTTGAATAAATTTGCATAAATACCATAAAAAGAACAATTGCTTTTGTATTGCCCGTGACTGAAGAAACCGTGGAACTCCAGAAATATTTGTGAAATTCGAAAAATTCGGGGAAAATTCAGGCCAGTCAGTCGAACATATTTGTTTCTTTCCTATAACCTTATTTCAGAGAAACGCATGTATTTTTAATTCATTTAGTCAAAATATGTTCCTTCTTATCTGGCTTAATTACATTTCATATTTCGCAAAAGAGTGTTTGAACTTTCTTATGCAGCTGCAGAGTATTGTTTTATTTATCTGTACTAGAATTTTCCATTACATTTCACTTAAGCAGTGCTAACTGTGCGTGTCCGGCAGGACTTTACTACCGCAAATATGGTGTCAAATTGCCACTTACTGCACTTTAGTGTTACCAGCAGTGCCCAACATGAGATTGGCCACACATGCTGGACCAACTCACATGTGCATATTCATAGATATGGTCCTTTTGTCTGCTGCAGGCAGTCCATATTAAGCTTGCAATTCGAGCAATTATCGTTCGGCTTGTTTTTGCACAGCCAGGCCATTAGGCTTTCAAAACTTGACACATAAACCTGAACAGACCACAAAACGATTGCGGCTGCCACGCGCCCAAAAGTATGCAATGGACACACAGATCACGCTGCTATGTACACCACTTGCCATAAGTATGTTGACAAGTTATAGGAAAAACGGCCAGCATTTATCTTTTAACATTAACAAATGCATTTCCTTTCGAGCTAAAATCTTACCTGGAGAAATAAACACAAAATTATAACAAAAAGTGAATGTGAGAGGTGGAATATCAGTTAATGTCCAAATTTGTTGCACGTTTGCATTTCAAAAATGATCGAGACCGATAAACATAGCTGATGAAAAAAATAGATATCAATTAGTCTTTATGAGCGTTTCAAGTTTTATTATCAATTGTCGAGGCTAATAGGAAAACCATAAAATAGTATACAAAAATATGACTCTATCAAATGAAATCAACTTGACAACACCCAATTAAATAAAACAAGAATACATATTTAATATATGTATATGTATATACGAGTATATGCTGCAGGCCTAGAAAGCCATTGCTAACATAATCGCTTCTGCTAGTTTTCAGATTTTTGTTATAAGCTAGCATTATATAAATAAATAAAATAAATTTACGAGTACATAGATATACTACGTGTATACGTTCAATTGACGTGTTTGATTTCAAAATAATTTTATTAGCGATATCAGCTGAAAGATTAGAATTTTTAATTCAATCTGAAAGATAGTAACATAATTGTTTATGTAAATTTAAAAACGTTTGCACTTCTAAAACGTTAAACAAAAATTAAAATTAATAAAAATGCACGATAACATTCAAAATAGTAGTTTTAACAATTGCATAGAATAAATTTCAAACTAACCTTGAATTCATTTTAAACACCTCTAGTGGACAGAATTTGTCATAATACTTTTGTCGAGCCAATGAGTGGTGTCTGTTGTGTGCCCAGCTTATGCAGTTATTATGTTTTAGTCGTACTTGTAGTTCAGTCTTTTAAATATGTGGAGATGGAGGAGTGGGGATCTGCATAAAGCTATTGCCACATTTGTGTTGCACAACACGCAACAAGCACCTTTTCTACAGATATGCATAATTGAGAATATTAGCATACATGTGTACAGAGTGCTGTTAGTGTAAGCTTAGTTAACGAATCGTTCAATTGGTTATTAGTTGCTCAGCCCCCCCCTGCACACACAAAATGGGTGCTGAATTGTGGCACTGGAATTGCTGAAGCCACTCGAGCTTCCTTCTGCTGATAGCCTCCATTCCATTCTTGTTTACGCTCACGCATTGGCAAATGCTTGCAAAATGCTCGTATCTGCACACAAAGCGCAACCAACAATGTGATTGCGTGTATGTGCATTGCTGCAAGGACAATAAATTATGACGCATGTCGCTTCCTCTGCCATTTGCTATGGCAACAGTTATGGCTGTCTTTGTTGTTGTTGTTGTCGTTGTTGCTGTTGTGCTTGCCGTTGGCGTCCGACGGTCGGCGAAAGTGTTTGTCACGATTTCTGTGCGCGATGGCAGCGTTACGAGTCTGGTTCCGTTTATTGAGCACTTGAGTGGCACGCACGCAATCCGAAGCAGCACAGCGGCAGCGCGCTGAACTCTCGAATGCGTGCGAAGGCGGTAGTGGCGACAACAACAATAACAAAAGCAACAGTTGCAAAGACTAAACGGGTGTTGTAACATTGTTGCAATGCACATGTAGAGACAAGTGCGACGCCATATTTGTCAGCGGAAGTTGTTTGCTGTGGCAAACATGGCAACGCAGACTCGCTCCTATAGGACATATGTATATAGTATAGTATGTGTAGCGTACACATACAAGTATATACAAACAGATATAAGTAGACACACGTCCTCATATGAACAGTTGAACTTCTCAGGCACCTCTCTTAAAACACTAAAGTCTTGAGTTCTAAGCGGCATAATGTTCTCTGAATTAAAAACAATTGTAATGTTTCATTGGTAGTACTTTTTTCATCGGGGAAAATAAAGTTCCTAATTTGTTTCTTAATTTCATGAACATAGTAAAAAAATGAAGAATCCTCTCATAAATGATAGTACTACTTGATTATTGTCTATATTAGTACAGTTCTTAAAGAAAATTTAATTCAAATATTTGAGTATGCTTTTGTATTCGAAACTTTAGGAGGAATTTAGAACCAAAGCCATGTTTTCTGCTGTTTTTATTGAATATCAGTAAACATTTTAATAAGTATAGAAAATTAGGTATTTATAATGATATTAATTATTTTTTAAGCAATTGTCCACAGCATTATAAATAGAATTTAGCACTTATTTAAAATTTATTTCAAAAACTCAAACCTTTGACATTTTCTTGTTAGAGAGTACGTTTTAAAAGGTAGACAATTAAAAAAAACTTCGGAATATAAAATATCCGATTTTCAAAATAAATAAGAATTTAAACATAGGTGTTTTGATAATAAGAAATGCTTTGCAGATTTTACTAAACCTAATTAAATTCAATTCAAAAAGCGTACTTTAATATCAGTCCACGCTTCATCTTTTTAAAAATAAAATGCAACTATTTTCCAAGCTATTAGATATTGTTCAAAATATTTGACTTTTCAAACTCCTTGTCGTAGGGCTTTGAAGCAAATTGAGTTTTGAGAAGTTCATTTGAAGACGTTCATGCAGTACCCTTTTGAATTATATATGTTTGACTGTACCAACAATATTGGTATGTATGTATGTATATTTATGTTGTACTTATATATACATATGTATGTGGGTGTGTGTACACACATTTGATTCAGCTGTCGCTGCAACAGCGCGTGGAATTGCCAGGCAAATAGAAGCCAATGCAAATACGTATACGTAATGTGTGTTGGGGACATGTAGAGCAACGTTTGTTTGTACAAGGCAATCAGAAGTGCTCACAAACATACACATACATAGCCACACACACACACACGCACACACATACGATACAAGTTTTGGAAAACACGTCTAAAATTGTTTTGTGTATTGCGCGCTCTTCGCGCGTTTTGTTCGACTTTTGCGTTTGTCTTTGGCCATTTTGCCAAGCGTGCAGCTTTCATTTTATTTATTTACTGGCAGCTTCTCGTAGCTCCTGTTGCTGCTGCTGCGGCTGCTTGAAAATTTATTAATAACAAAATGCAAATAGCACAGAGTGTGCGAAAACTCGCGCATATGACGTGCCTGAGCGAAGACACCACCCTGGCCATGTTGCTGCCTCCTCCTGCACATGTCCTTGTCCTTCTAGTTGGCACTGTTATTGGCCTGTTCGCTATATTGAATGCATGTGGGTGTCAGTTTTGCCGCTTTTATGGTGCCAATAACGCAAGTCATTCGTGGCAAGATCTGAAATTTATGTTCAAGGAAGTGCAAAGGTCGCATAGTTCTGGGCGTTGATAACGAACAAAAATGAATTGGTGGCATGTGGATTTCCGTTGCTTTAATTTGCCAAATGCTGCTTCATCTTATTGCCAATTTGAATTAGTTGGGCTATAGCATAGCAGATAGAAGCAGATGAAGAAGACTTAGAAGATAAAGCAACAGAATTTGGTCAGCGTCCACATTAGTGAAATAATTAAATTGAAAATAGTTCCCATTCACAATTCAGAAATTGGAAATTTGTCAATGTATGCGTTATGCAAAAGTCTATTCATTTGTCCATAGTTAGGAGTGCGAGCCATTTCCTTATTTGCAGCACATAATCAACATTTGCATACCAATCAAAATCCCTGGCATTAGCCCAACACTTCAATGCCAGACAAATATTGTCACTGAATAGCCGCAAAACAAGCAAACGGCAGCAAATGTGGTGTTAAAATGTGTAAGCAATTTGAAAGCCAAACCGAATGCGTTGTGCAAACAAACTTACAATAGAGTCTCAATATGAAGACAGTCGCATATGCGTTTGTTCTAATCAAAGATGTGAAGTCTCTGGGTAATGGGTGTTCTGTTTTTCCAGATTGTGAACCATTAGTTCCCTTCTAAGAAGCTGCTAATATTTTACTTATTTAGGTTTTTTAATTACAGCTGCTTCTGCTAGTTTTCTTAGCAACTATAGAATGACTATCTACATACTCCATGGTCTGGTTGTTAGCCGCATAGTTAGAAATTTGCTGAGAGCAAAAGCAAAGCCTTCTTTTTATATTGAAATTTTGAGAAAAGAAGATTAATAAATCATTTTCTCTCATTGCCAAAACTGATGTCAAACAAAACAGTTAATATATCAAACATCTTTCAGCTGACATTTAGATACAGTTATGTTTATTTGGCTTCATTCGAAGCAAGTCACTTGAACAATTTTTCCACTTGAATATATTACAATTAATAATAAGTTAACAAATATTAAGAGTTGTAAGAAGATAATGATAATTTCAATTAAATTGAATTATCAAACTTACCAAACAACAAACTAATAAGGTATTCTAAAAAGTGAAATAAGCTCAGAAATCACCTCCACCATTTTATCGTAAGCTTCATAGACAACAAGGCAGCTCCCAAATGTTTTAAAATACAATACTTCCTGAGAGTTTTCGTTAGCGAAGATGTACCGTGTGTTTACATATATATATGCTTAGATCTGTGCATTGGACACCATAACAACCTCGGTTGCATCAACCGCACATATGCAACAATGCGTCGCCCATGCACCACAACTAACTTGACCAAGTCGTGGCTAGCATTTCACTACGATTTGCAATATACGGTTTGACGTTAACGGAAACAGAAGCAGAACAGAAACCGCATTCGAGCTTGGTTACAACGACGACGACGACGACAACGACAACGACGAGTAGAGTGTCCTTTGCTGCCACCAAACACATACAAGTACTCACATCCACACATAAGCACAAGCACAACCACACTCACACATACATGCACAATCATGTGTGGGCTGCTTGTTTACGGCACATCTAAGAGCCATTGACCGTGTTACATAAATACGAAATTGACTTTTTGGCCACACACGATGTGCAGGAAACGAGGAAACTGGAAATGAAAACGAAAACGAAAAATTACATTCTTGGCAATATGCAACGATAACTGATGCCTTTTAGAGCCACTTAGCATCTCGCACCGTGTGTCAAAAATAATGAAAAATATACATTTTACAATTTCAATACGAAACAATTTTCGAAACGCATTTTTGAAAAAGGAGTTTACCATCACGGGCGAACATTAATTCACACATTCACGTAGAACTATTTATTTAAAAGAAAACTCTAAGCTAATTTGTTTGTTTAAATTGTTTAAATCAACTTTTCTCGTTCATAGAAAGAAAAACAAAATCTCTTTTTAAAATTATATATAGCTTCTGATTAAAACATCAAAGCTCTAGCATTTCTTTTTATTTAATTAAATAGTTTTTATTTAATGTAATTTATTTTGTTGTTTGTTGTAATTAGACAAGTAGAAATATTATTTTAGCAATTCAAATGACTAATGTGATAGCATTATAGTATTTATTTATAGAGCTAGTCAACTAAAATAAAAAGAAACAAATTTAAGCAAAAAATATTTAATTGATCTCTAAACTATGATATAGTTAGACCTTAATCATTGCTTTGCTATTTTAAAGCCGCTTACAGTCTTACTGTGTTTTCTATTTACTTTGAATTTTCAAATTTAAATTTGTTCGCACAATATGATATTCATATTTTCAAAACGTGGCTCATTTTATGTTATAAAAAAAGATTTTCAAATACATTTGCCAAGTCTCTGAATGAGCTTTATCAGGTGGGCCTCCATAATTTTCATTAGTGTTTGACCCACTGTACGAATATTATGGCATCGATTTCCTGTGCCACCTGGGAAGTTGGTTGCATGGCCCATAGCCCATCTAACTGCATTGTCGCTCTGTTCTCAATTTTCTTTTTTGGATTTTTGTTCTGTTCTTTTTTTCAGGTGCTCCATTGCCGTGGCAAGGTTTGAAGATAGCGCGCCATTTACCGCCCGTGTGTCCACAAAAACTGCCGGACATATCGTCGCAGAGCAGTGTGAATATGTCGCGTGGACGTTACAGGCACTTGACACGCCTGATGCCCTATTTGAAAACGGAAAACGAGGATTGTTTGTATTTGAATCTGTATGTGCCGCACGAGGGTGAGTGAGTTAATGGCTGATGTTTATCGCCTTCCATATGCCAACGGTAGTAACGCAATTTTCGCGCTTTCAGAGCTCCTGGCAACGCCCAGGCTGCATCCAGTGCTGGTGTATTTGCACGGCGAGTCCTTTGAGTGGAACAGCGGCAATGCGTACGATGGTTCCGTGCTCGCCAGCTATGGCCAAGTCATTGTTGTCACTGTCAACTATCGACTGGGGGTTTTGGGTAAGTTGTGACAAGCATTTGGACTGGAAAGTTGACTAATTAAGCTGATACCCGGCAGGCTTTATGCGGCCCAGCATCGATGAGCACAATATTGCCAACTATGCGCTCCTCGATCAAATTGCCGCCCTCCACTGGATCAAGGAGAACATTGGGTCATTTGGCGGCGACAATTCACGCGTCACCTTGATGGGCCACAGCACAGGGGCCGCGTGCGTTAATTATCTGATGGTATCGCCAGTCGCTTCAGGTAGGGCTAATTGCATTATTTATAGCCATATTAAGAGCGAGCTCAACAATTGTTGTCACATACTCGTATGTAGGTCTCTTTCATCGCGCCATACTCATGTCGGGCTCGGCCATGTCCGACTGGGCGGCCAGCAATCGGACGCTCGAATTGACAATGCAAATAGCTCACTCACTCGATTGTCCCCTGGGCGGTAATGGGGCTGCTGGAGACGATGATGATGATGCATTGCTCGAATGCCTGCGCCAGCGTCGGTGAGTCAACTTATTCAATTATTCATGTGGAAGTGCGTATCGAGGCCGTGTTCAAGTGCTGCGAAAGAGTACTTGAAAATTAAAGAGCATCTGATTAAGGAAACGAAACTGTATAGGCTGTGACTGTAGAATAATTTATCAATTCGAAGATATTCTAGTTTTTTGTATGTGATGTGTTGTATTTCCTAATAATGCCACAATCCTATTTCAGGAAAAGTTCTACCTGGCATCCCTTTATACAACAGAGTAGTATTTTTAAATGCCATCCAATTTGAAACCAAATATAGTATTTGTTTTGAGTATTTCAATGCAATTAAATCAAAGGAAAAGCATCCATTTAAGTCATTTCTATTCCTGTTTTCATCACTTCATGAAGTTGATTAGAAAGTGAAATGAGCGTCGCATAAACACATTAGGTATCGGCTCCAATTTGTGTGGACATTCTGACCATTATAATGCGTGTTAATGCTTTTAGTGCCCTGCATTTGTGGTCTTGCCTGCACATGGACCATAAACGCTGGCGATTTTGTGGTCGTGAATGCGCAAACTTAATTTGGGTTCGCATCTTTGCAGCTCGTGAGCTGCGGTTTGTTTGTCCTCTGGCCGCTGTGCGTCCTATAGGACTTCGTTCTGGGACGCTGATTCATTTAGTGGGTTGCTCTTTGTGCGCTGCTGCTTAATGATTCGGTAAATTTACGAGTTTGTTATGCCGCGCCAATGACGCATAAATGCCTTACCACGCGCCCGACGCCCTCACCACATCAGTTCGCGCTTTCGCACTCATTTAGCAACCATAACTAATCGCGCTTGCATATATCCTTGTTGGTCGTTTGTCGGCTGCCTCCGTCTTCTCTGCCTATTTATGTGTAAAGTGCGCTGCGTATTTGCATCTAGATTAGCTGTAATCTCTTGTGTCCATTTTTGGATGGGATATTGACAGTCTGATGGGCAGGGAGTCGGGTGGTTTGGCACGCGTATAATAACGTGAAAACTTTGGGCCTCGGTAATTTGTAAAACACCCGCCATGTTAATTGCTTTTCAATTAATCACTTTTTGACTGCCTCACTTTAGGAGCTACATATACAAACTTAATTGACTGCCATTAGACGAGTTTTTGTCCAACGACGACTATTTAGTATTCAGTTGCTGAAGCAACAGCAAACACAAACAAAAGCATTGGCATAACAATGGCATTAAATTCAAATCATCAAATGCTACAAAGATAGCGACATAAGCTCTTCTTAGTCAATTAAAATGAATAATATGACTAAAATATATCATATGCATTTCAGCAGTCTCCTAAAGTGTGCTTTTAGTAACAATACAGCTTTGTTGTGGAAGTTATTCGTATATACATTTGAGATTAAATGAAGCTCAGTAACAGTTGATAGTTGATCACAGTTTTAAAAATATACTAATATTTGTAGTTAATAAATTAAGAAAGTTTTGGATAATTTTGTTGGCATAGAAACTATCGTGAGTTAGTTAATTAATAAAAAAAACACGTTTATCACGTTGCATCAGAAAATAAGGAAGGTATTATATATTTAATCTCATAATCAGCTATTTAATGTTTCAACTAGTTATAACGAATGAGAGTAGTTTAAAACTAAAAATATATTTTAAGAATATATTCTGCTGAAAACTAACTAACGTTTACATGTGTACATTTTTTCAAATATTTACAGACGATGTTTAGGTATGTTCTACTTACATAGCTGACTTGTTATCCTTTTCCGGTCAGTTACAACTTCATTTTTCACTCGCTACGTGTCCTGTCTAATCTAGTTCCTAATTCGCCTTTGCATTAGTATTCCAATCGCAGTCCGCATTGTGTGTGGCTCCCTTTATTATTTGCTCGCGATTGCAACAAAAGCCCCTTCGCCCACTCCACTAAATGCACTGCACATTGCCTCGAGTAACTGCCACTTCGGTTAGGGTGTGCATTTTCAGACTTATGTAAAATATATTACAACAAAAAACATTGCAGCCCCTAGGGAGCGGGGGGGAGGGGGAATAACAAACACGCGCAAAAAGCGTTGTGCCTTACATTACATGGCAATTGTAATGCGTTCGTTAGTCTGTTATTTTACTATGTGCGAATGTGTGTGGTGTGAGTGTGTGTGTGTGTGCGTGTGTGCGTGTTTGCGTGCCTGCGGCAAGTTCATTTGTATGCTTTTCACAGCTGAAAATGGCACAAAAGAAAACTAAAAAACAATTTGCATACAGAATGAAATAAAAGCGCATAAAACTAAATAAGTATGTAAAACTAAATCAACAACAGCAAAATAATAGTAATTATGTTAATTATGCAAAGCACACACTAAAACACATCCTCACACACTCACACACACACGCACACACACACACTTTCCCACACTCATGCAGTATGTCTGCCCAACAAAATGGCGACATTGTGCAACAGTGTGTGAAGTGTCAATGTGTGGGTGTGTCTCTTCATGTCTCAGTACTTAAAAACTTTATTTTTCGCATGGCGCTGCCAACAAATTGACACAGAGGAAGTTGTGTAAACGGATGCCATGTTGCATGCCCCCTCCCCCCTCTCTCAGCTGTTGTTGAAACTGGCATTTCGTGCGCAATGAGGGGGAAGCAAAAATGTGTTAATGAATGAGCAGCGAGCGACAAGAGCAGGAGCAGAAAATGCATGCCATTTAACTCCAACGAGCCGCAAGTCCTCCAAAGCACAACAATAAATATGTAAAAACTTTGTTGAGATTTGTTGAAAACATATCAAACAAATATGGTTAGTAGCATGATTACCTACTGAAGAATTGGGAGTTGCGTAAATAGGAAATAAAATAGCTTCATAAGTATGCTTGATTCTCCTTATACGTAGTTGACAAATCGAATATTTCGCCTTTTTCACTAAAAACATGTTAATTATTTGTTCTCATTGCTTGGTTTTATTCTGTAATTTGAGGCTCGAAAATTAGCTGAATTTTCTCTGTTATAGATGATTTTATCTAGTATATCTATGTATATGGCTGTAGCTTTTATTTGGTTAAAAGAGAGAGAAAGCGAATGCAACTGAAATAATTTCGTAGAAAATATACTGCAGATCAATTTTCATTTCCAATTTAATTAAGGGAATGCATTGTTCCTAACTTAATTTTCGTACTGCTATATAGGTCGCTTGTTGGTCAGAGTGTTAAGGAGGCGGATGTGAATGCTCAAATGAATGACTAACTAGCAGTGGCAAGTTGAGTTCTGAGCCGAGCTGAGTGCACGTCGCAGGCAGCTGTGTGTGAGTGTTAAATGAATGCAATGAATTATGTATGAATTACTGTGTAAATGTGCTCAACGTTTTGCCCGCAAACAGGTAACTGCACATACATACATACATATATCAGCAGATACATACTATACATACCAACTGACATACACACAAGGCGGTGGCAGGCGAACGAGGCGAGTTACAACTACTTAGGCAAACATGTTAGCCACAGAAGCCGCAGTTACATTTGTTTGTCCAGCACACACTTAGACGCACACTCACTGGCATTTGTAAATACGAGCAGTTATCCCCACATGTACACACACACACACACACACTCACAAACACACACACAGACAGTAGTCGCAAATACCTTTGCATATGCATGTGCATTTGATTGTGTGTGAATATTTCCTTTGCCAGAGAGCTTAAACATTCTAAATGATTAATAATACGTTTCTTTGCCCCTAATTCTCTTTTTCGCCATCAATAAGTTATGAAAATCTCTCTCTCCCTCTCGTTTCTTTTCTCCATTTATGTGTAATGCGAAGTAAATATTGCTTTTGATCTTTTGTTTAAAGGTTAGCCGTACTACACAGTACATAAGTAGCAATATTTACTTTAATTATTGACGTTTTATGCAAATGTAAATATTGTCGCAATAGTCCGTCGTTTATGGCTCTTTTTCCTTTAAGTGAGCATATTTTGCATATTATTTTGTGCCTTTGTTTATTTACTGAGTATAGAAAGCGCAAATATTTAGCTTGGCTGATTGCAAGCGCAAAATGTGCTCAATATGAATAAATTATGCAAATTTTATTGAACTTATTTGCTTTGCTAAAAATGTGTGCCAGGTGTCGACCATTGACATTACCTGCAAACACAGTTTACATATACATAGTTGAATATTTTAGCAAGTTGTTAAAAGCAATTTATGCAAATCGTATTAACATTATTTTCAAAGTTATTGTTGATTGGCCAATGAATGACTATTCAATTCATAGCTTTGCTTAAACGGTCGCAAAATATATGTTGTTGAGGATTTAGCTCATTAAAGAAATAGTATATGGGCTTGAGAAAGCCAATTTAAATACAAGTAGCTTTAATTGTTTTCGATTCAATCATTTTTACTAAGTGTTTATTTATTGACCCGCTCAATAGAATTCATAATTGAAACCCATAATTTTTCAAATGCTTCAACTAATTACATAGAATAATTATTGAAACATAAAACGATTTTAACTAAAATGTTATGTCATACTAATATACAACGAACGCAATCACAACCAAATATTTTGCCACATTATCAAATTCAATGCTAATTTACGCTGCTTTTCAAATGAGTTTTAATTTTTAACTATCAGTTTATATTTCGTTGAAATTCAAAATCAATTTCATTATCATTTCATTACCCTTAGTATTGCAAATTAAAAATCAAATGTAATCATTTATAACTATCGTACTGCATTAAAGTCTTTGAAATAGTTTTAAACCCAGAAAAAATTTAAAAAAGCAAGCATTTATTTTTAGCAACTTAGTTTCTAGGGGCATGACTCGAACTTCTTCTGAATCAATATTCACTTTGACTATTAAGTGTAGCCGAATGGTTTTCCCAATTTCCACACATGCTCGTATATACACGCGCTCTTGAATCATCTGTCTACCCCAGCCGTTGCTCTAAGTAATCCGGCATCGACACTATCGTAATCCATTTAAACTTGACTGGAACACTTGAGCCACAAACGCCAGCCAAGCTGGCATTTCACTTTGAGGCACGTCAGCCACAAGGGGCTCTCGTTCTCCCAATCTCTCCGTCTCTTCCTTCTGGTCCATGACTGCAGCGTCTTTGTCAATTGCAGCACATGGTCTGGCGGTCAGAGGAGATGGGCGTCCTGGTCACCACCCTGGAAAGCCTTGTCCTGCTATAACTTTGACCGAACTCAGCCACGTGTGTGGCAAGTGCTTTCGGCCTTTGCTTTGTTTCGTTTTGCTTAGTTTTGTTTTGTCGTTGACAAAATTTGTGGGCAGCACTTGAAATTGCCTTGAACTGGGACAGAAACAAAGTTGGGATTCAACTTCGTTAGCTGCATGCAGTTTGTTGCGCTCTGTTTTAGTTTCTAGTTTCATTGTGCCAAGTTGCCGAGTTGCCGAGTCAGTTGAAGTCTGTGATTTATGATTTTCATATTCGGTCTTGTGTCTTATTAGCCAGGGCTTTGACAAAGGAATTGTCACCGGTTGTTGCATACATTTCAAATAACCCAATAGTGACCAAGGCTGTAAGTTGAAGCTACTAATATGAAGCAGATGCAATAAGTACAATACAATGGTTGCAGAGGTCTTCATTCCTTAAATCATATTGCACGAAGAATCTAGAAATAATCGTTTCTCAATTATATTTTAAGAAAATGAAAGCCTTAAAAAATAATATAGTAACATTATGAATAAACAAATAAACGTTCAGAATATAAATACAAAACTCAAAACATAATTTGTTCAATTAGTATTGAAAGCTTATCATTGATTTCACGCATATTGTTGAAATACGAGTTAACCTTTCTTTTACTAAAAATAATAGAGTTTTTTCACAATGCATACTAATAAAACGAATAATGCATAAAAATAGTTTATCAATGGCTTATATATACTTGTATATCTGCAAAGCTTCCTAAAGCCATCAGGTGTAATTGCACCTGCATGTGGTGAAGTGCTCTCGGAAATGTTTATTTTCTGCAATCTAGAAGTAGCCAGTTGAAGCAGCTGTGAGCAGCACTACGAGATATACATCTGTATTCAACAATCTAAGAACAATCTAATAGCACCACAGGTAGGGTGCTAAACCATGTTTATCGGGGATAATCTCAATTGAGCTCGTGTTTTCACATCAGAGTAAGATCTAAAGACTTCAGTGGGTTAACTCGTTAGCTGCATGCAGTTATATCACAATATATGCATATATGCATGCGGCCGAATTGTTACTCGGCGTAACCGTACTATAGTATATATTGTGTATTTTGTCAGTTTAGGAAAACAACTCAACTGCTCACATTGCACAAATTTGTCTGCTCAAGTTACGCAGAGTTTCTTTGCATTGTGTGCATAACTGCAGATATTCGAGTGAGTGTGTGTGTGTGTGTGTGTGTGTTTGTGTGTGTATGTGGCAGGAACGAAGATTGATGATGGCGTTGCAAATTCGAGTGTTTCTACAAGTAGCAGCCTCGGTTCATTCAGCTCGTGCGGCTGGTCTTTTGTTTTCGTTTGCCTGTTTGCTTGTCCATGCTTTCTATTTAATGAATTTTTAATATGGTCTTACTCTTCTTTTTTTCATTTTGTCAATTAAAAGCGCTCAGCTTGCACAATGCAAACACATCTTTCGACCAACTAACAATAAACGAGCATGTATATGGATTATGTGAGTGCGTATACTTAATGTTTACTTGCCTTTCCCAAGTATTTATTTAGCAGAGAGCTATTTTTTGCGCTTCCCCACAGCTGTGCTCTGGGATATTTGCATTGTTTGCACTCGGGCTAAGAGCATTTTTTAGATTTTAAGGCGCTTTAGTATGCACACAATTAAATTTGTTGGTTGCAGCTACTCGGAGCGAATTTTGAAATGAATCCTGCATTTCCTCTACACGCATTGATAAATTGCAACATGAATTGTTTGCATAAAAACAAAGGGAAATCAACGTAAAGGGACAAATTGGATGCACTTACATAAGCTGCTTATATGCACTCCAATCGCCCATGAATTCTATGCATATGTAAGCAATACATGTATACATATGCACAAGTATGCTTATTACAAGTATAAAGCAGCTTACAAGGCATTTCCCAATTTAGAATGAAATTAAAAAAGTTGAGTTTTAGGCTGCGCAGCTGTGCTACAAATTTCAACGAATCAGTTTATATTACATATTCGTATTTTGTCCGGTTCCCCATCCATTATTCACAAGTTGTGACTTGTTTTGTTGATATTTATTTTTATACCCTGTACCCAAAGGGTAAAAGGGTATATTGGTACAGGGTATTTATTATACCCTGTACCCATAAAAAGGGTATATTAGGTTTGTGCAAAGTATGTAACATGCAGAAGGAAGCATCTCCGACCCCATAAAGTATATATATTCTTGATCAGCATGACGAGAGAAATCGATCTAGATATGTCCGTCCGACCGTCTGTCCGTCTGGATGAATTTCAAGGATCTCAGAAACTATAAAAGCTAGAATAACCAAAGGATCTCAGAAACTATAAAAGCTAGAATAACCAAAGGATCTCAGAAACTATAAAAGCTAGAATAACCAAAGTTGGTATCCAGAATCTCCTAGGTCCAAGAAAGGACGAGTTTATTTTATTTTTTGGAATTTCCCCCCTCTTCACCTGCTACACATTTCAAAAGCTACCCTAACCAAACTTTATATACCAAACTTATCTATTTTTGTTTCAAATTTCATCTAAATCAGTTGGTTCTAAGAAAAGTTATTAGCGAAACAATTTTACTTCGGTAAAATACGCCCACAAGCTTCTGCTAGAGGCGCATATACCTCAGTGCCGGAAGTTTACCTGGGTACAGGGTATTTCACTGTCGGGCTTGCTCGACTGTAGCGTTCTCTCTTGTTTTTGCATAGCTTTCTACTTTTGCTGAGAAAAGCAAAAAAGTGACTTGCGATTCAAAACAGGGTGGCAATCAATAATTCGTTCATTGGGTTGGTTTTTCATTTGGAAAAGCGACTGTAGGAAAAGCACATATAGAAGCCACATAATTAGCCATATTGTAAAACAAAAATCAAAATCCCAATTTACAATCATTTCAATGAATTTAATATTAAATTGAAGGAAAGAAAGCTAAAACCAAAAGATGTTTTTAAAGCCTAAAACGTTTTTCTGAAAATTGACAACAAAGAAATATGCACAATTTAAAAGAATAAATTGAATCAAATGTTGTCTATGCAATATACACTGCAATCATTGCTTCTAATTGGCTTTGCTTTCATTTTTCATTAATTTCTCTCTCTCGCTTTCCCTCTCTGCCCTTTATTTTATTAAAATGGGAATTGATGCCAACTGGTAATTGTTAAATGCTTAACTGAGGTTACTATCGTATTGAGTGCGTTGTTATAATCTCGCAGAGATGAACATATTTTTGCAATTTTTGAAAAATTTGAATTTAAATGTTGGCCACAATTTCGCATTGCTGCATGCGTCTGATAACACTCCAAGCAATATTTTCTTGATTCCTTCTTAATTCGTGGCAATTTCTGAGCTCGTTTCTGCATTTGAATGGGAATTTTAATGCAAACTACATTGGCAACGGCACCCTGCAGTGCCATTTGATGGCGCCATTTTGTATCCATAAAACCTGTATTGCGAAAAAGTAACAAAACTCAAAAAGAGTGAACACGAAAATGCACAGACCAACAAAATTGCGCGCCCCACTCCCCCACAATCAGACATGCATGCTCACATATTTATGTATTATATAGGTATATGCATGGGTATGCCAAAATTGAAATGCTTTTCATGTAGCATCGGGAGCAGGAATTGCATGTGCGTTGATTGTATTTGATATGGATGCCTTGGGTATATGCTGATATACTGCTATTTATGAGTGCCTGAAAAGGTGCATTAGAGATGTGTGCGAGAAGTGAGTGGAAAACCTAAATATGCAAGCTTAATGTTATTTACTGGAACTGGAAGCATGCACCGAGTCAGTATCATATCATATCACAATCATTGCGACTTATAAGCAAGATAAATACGAATTCTTAGAGAGATGGGAGTTTAAAGTTTGGCACAGCCTCATATACGATGTAAACGGACGAAGAGTTTTTTTATTATATTTAATATTTTATTTTCGAATTTTTCGAATATTAATCTCAATTTTCCATCAAACTTTAAAGGTATAATCAGTTGTGGTATGAAATTGATATTTTAAAAACCTAGATAATAAATTTAAGCTGCATTACTGCTACGTTGGATTCTCAAACCTTGACATTTGGTTAAATATGCTCAAATAAATATGAAGAAAATTAATAATTGAAGGCAACTTTATTATACATATGTATCTGATTCCATAAATTATTTCTAGTAAGCGTTTTTAAGCTATTTTTATTTCGTACCAACTAAAATAAAACAACTGATCTATTTCAATGCCTTGATCATATCCAAAATGGATAGAGTTTAGTTAAACGATCATTTCTATTTATGAAGTTGTCTATATTTTTTGCATTCCCATCTCTAGTGGGCGTCGACGACATGCATTTAAATTAGACTTAGTTCTCACAATTGTGCTCAGCTGATAACTGGCAGGGCCCTGAGTTGTACAAATTGCATTACACAAACAATTTTCGGTTTCTGGTGTTGTTGTTTGTAATTCTATAAATCTTTAAATTGCATTTTTGGCCGCCTAGTTAGGTGGGGCGTTGATTCAAGGACTGGTTCGTGTACCAACAACATATGTGTATCTTATTGAATGTATCTTTATGTGGCGCACGTGCTGGTGAAGTGTAAGGATATGGATGGATGTGTGTACCATACACGAGTGTACGGGTATGTGTGTTTGTGGGGCCTGTTAAGTGCGCGCGTGTGCAGCAACAAATCACACATAAAATTTATTAGAAATTTCAAATCAATGTGAAAAGTGGCCGCTGTCAGGCCAAGAAGTTATATGACCTTTTTTACGCCCTTCACTAACGTAATGTTCTTCTTCTACTTATTTTTCAGCTACCAGGATATTTTGCACATACCAACAACATTTCAACAATTTTCAACATCATTGGGCCCAATTGTCGATGGACACGTAATACCAAATCAACCGTACAAGGTCATGGGACATTATACGGAGCATTTCAGCCGGTTTGTTAAGCAATTGTTGCCCATTGCCTTGCTATTTGTACAATTCTCTCAACTCCTACTCCTCCACCCCCTCCTCTTCCAGCTCACCCATCTCACCCAGCTCCACCACCCACGTCTCACTATTTTCCGTAGGAGTGTGGGGAACCGTCAAACATTCCTCACAGCTCCTGTTCGACATTTATTCGTCTTTTCAGTTCTTACTTTCCTTCGACTTTTGGTTGCTTTTTTTGTACCACGGGGTTCCTGTACAGCTGACAGCGCGCAAGGCTATGTATTTATTGTATAGTTGATTAGACGTCTGATATTTTATTTTTGCGTTTTCGGCCTGCCTTCGGAGATTGGATTGCTCGATTGGTTGGGGTCAACAGGTAAACTCAAATCGCTTGTGAAATCAAAGTGGCCCTTAGCCGTGTTAAATTTTCTGTTGCCACTGCCATTGCCATTGTTGTTGTGCAACCGTAAAATGGCAGAGCTTGCCAGCCTGCCAGACAGCCAGCCAGCCAGCCTGCTTATAACTAATAGGTATTTCATTTGATATGGCAGTTTGTGTTGGTTTAGTTATCATCAAGCAAATTACATTTCTTTAATGCCGATTCTAGGAGCTGACGAGCCATAACCACTTCGGCAAATAGCGCCTATTTGATGGCTGTACGAGTATAGACTGTCCGGTTCAAGTGCGGTCAAGTTTTAAGGTTGCATAAAAAGTGTCAAGTGGCCACTTGAGTTGGGCAGCACCCAAATAGACAGGAGATGGGTTAAGTGTGACAACACTTGGCATACTTGAGAGCTAAATAGGTACAAAGACGACCAAAGCTTGCTTAAAGCTACCATTTCGCTATTAAGATGCCTAAGGGATACGAATATTGGAACAGTTGACATAATTGAAAACTGAACACTTTCAATTAAGGTATTAGCACTCAAACGCTAGACAGATAAGGCAACCTTAATTAAATATGAACTGATCTGCCGAAGATACAAAGTAAAAATGGATAACCGTAAGAAAGAAAATAAAATGCAATTAAATTATATTGTGCCAATTTTCTATCGATGGATTTTATGCAAACGTATTACATATATCAAAGGAAAGGACTGGTAAGAAAACTCCTTTAGCAAAAATGTGGAAAACAAGATGCAAATTAAAAGCTGCTTAAGTCATTGGGACGACTGAAAATTATGGTATTAAAACACACATATAGTACAGCAAGCTTTGAGCTTTCGAATTATTCAAATGACTTTAACGCTTCGAGATGTTGATACGATATCAGTGCGATAACAACAATTATCAGTTCATGATATTTTAGTCTCAATTCTGAAACACATATACTCGTGTTATATGTTTAATATATTCCACATCGCGATATCCGTGGACCACATAAAACGGTATTTTCTCATAAACTTAAAATCTTGATAAATATAGGAAAACAATTTTATTTTTAAACATTCATTAAATACTTATTAGCGGTTCGATACGTTTTATTTTATTTAATATTTTTCGTATTATTGGAAACCAAAGGACTCAACAAGTAATTGCTGTCAAGGTTGGCAGTGAACCCGAAACGTACCCTAACTGGATTTCGTTTCTAAGGCCTGTCAAAAACCAATCACACTCCATTCTCTTCCCACCATACTTGTAAGCTCTGCCCCGTAGATTAGTGTTGCTTTTTACACCCCAAAAATAACTCGGAGCCGAAATATGAGCCTTTCAGAAGGGGAACAGCAATCGCGTTCAATTCATATGCTGCACGTACGATTTTGGTATTTGGGAGGCAACATAACATAATACGGTATTGTCTAATAAAATGCGTGATTAATTTGATTTTAATTGTTATCCCTTTGTGAGTCAAACGTGTTTTCCTGCAGACACGCATTGTCAGTGCAGCACGAAAGGAGTATGATACGAATAGCAGGAAGAGTCATTAATTACGCCAAACAGACTAGTCCTGAGTGGCTCGTAGAGGTGGCAGATGGGGATGGGGAGGGCAGAGGAGATGGATAGGTAAACAGAGAGTGGCGAAACCGTAAAGTCGGCAAAGTAAATGGCAGCACGTTTCGCACGATTTGAGCTGGGAGTTTGGGTTCCACTTTTAATCACTTTAATGAATTTGCTGCAGATTAAAGCAGCTCAGCTGTCAGCATATAAATAAGGCATAGAACGGAAGAGAAAAGGCACTACAGGACAGGGCAGGATAAGAGCAACAACAATATGAAGTAGTATGCGAGTAGAAACAACATCAACTGTTGCATACAAAAGCAATTTTTCAATATCTCTTTACTCAAGTTGTTCGGATAGCTGCCTTTTTTCGCTTCTACTTAGGAATTTCTTTTCAATTTAACAAGTTTTGCATTTACTTCTATCGACAAGGCAAACTTTACGATGAGGAGTGCTGCAGGATGGAGGATCCTTGGGCTCAATGACGAGGCCACGAGACCGACACTAATAACTTTTAATGCGCATTGTTGTTGCGCATGATATCAGAAGCAACAGCAGACCAAGGGGACCCTTAATAGCGTCACAGGCCAAAGTGGACAGAGAGTGCTGTACACTCGTGGCGCCGCACTTGGCGACTACTCCTACAATCCGCCCCTTTTTTGTGCACATTTATCAGGCCGCGTAACAAGTTACACCGCAGGACTTCGTTTTATTTTAGTGCTTTTAACTGCTTTTTATGAGCGCTTTTTATGCACGCTTGTCTGTCTATTACACATGGCGAAAGTTATGAGCAGTTGACGCGACTCTTAAGTGGGGTAGGACATGTCCTGACGTCATAAACATAAAAAACAAAAGCAGTTCCTCGCCGTTTATGGGGTTATGTGCTAAGGCATCATTTCTTAAGACAAAACTGTTCACAGTTGCACTAAAAAGTCTCGAGTTTCGGTAATTCATTAAAGTTGTGACTTTAAAGACACCTAAAAGTAGGCAACAAAGTGTCTAAGTCGGGCGTTTATAACTAGATTCTGTAAGTGGTTATGAATTATTCATGACTAGCTCATATAAAATTTATTGGAATTTTAAGTGATACTCCACGCATCTCAAATAATCGATAGCAGTTCCTCTGTTCCGTTCCCTAAGACAAGCCAGTAATTTCAAAATGCTGCTGAAATTACATAGGCAGAAAATGTGAGTTGCCGTTTTAAAATTAATAGAAAATTCTTCAAAGTGCGCAACAAAATATTTAAGGGCTGACAAAATTGTCAGACAAATACAAGAAGATATATCAGACGTCTTTCTCAAGTATGCTATTAAATTATTTAGGTTAGATAAAAGATGGAGCAAATGCACACAAAATAATCATTGGATGGGTTTGTTTCCAAAAAATTTGACTGTGGCTTAGAACTATAGTTCTCTCGATAACTAATCGAAATGGCTATGAAATAAGAACTATACCGACATTATTGTACATATTATAATCAGAACTGACTTCCACCTCTTAAAATTGAATTAGTTTTGGACGAATTCGCTGAGCCCCAATATCGAAAAGCTATGGAATTCCTTTCCTATAGAGGTGTGCATATTAGCCAATACAGGCACTTAGTTATTGTACGTACTAGAGCGGGTAAAACAGCGGGGAAACTACAGTGGACGATTGGAGACCCATAAAAGTAGGCAATAATATCGATTTGGTATGTTTAATTGGAGTTTAATTTCTCTCTGTGCATTAAATACCCTTCGGTGTAGAAAAATTCATTGCCCAACCCAAATCGCAAACTATGCCCACTCATCTTTGTATACAATGCACTATCAAGCATCCTTCTGACTCTCCCCCCTCTCTCTCACTCTTCTTTTCTTGCAGTTATGATTTATTATTCGGCATCACGGAGTCGGAGTCCTATCATACATTGGCCGCATTAGCACTCGAGAAAGGATTAGGTGAAAATGAACGCGATAATTTATTGCGCCGCTATATGAAGAGTCGCTTTGATGTACGCCCCGATTTGGCATTGGCTGCCACACTAAAGAAGTAAGTGAAATTTATGCGCTATTTTATCGCCCGATGGCAACTGCAAAGTGGCATTAAGTGGGCGTGAGAGGAGCCACCACCTTCTCCAACCTGTTTGCCAGCCCGAATGGATGGAGTTTTAACTTAGTTGCAGTTAACACTTTGGGTCGCAAAGTTTTAAGTTGCTGGAGTGGGAATGCATTACTGTGTCCACGTGCTCTGGCGTGCGTGTGATTGTACACACATACACATACTTGTATAGTATATGTGTATGTATCCATATCGTTTATCTCAATTAGATTTGTTTATGGTAGCAATTTGTTTGCAAAGTGCTGCGGATTAAGCACCACCCTGCCAACTGTCGAGAAATTCCTCTGAGGGGCGCACATTGTCGTCAACAAACCGATTTGGTTCAGCGCTGTTTAAATTTGAATTTATCGACAATATAAATAATCTCAGCTTTACCGAAATGTGCCTAGATACAGGCTATATACTCATATTGTAGCAGAGCCTTGGGCAATGCATTTAAGTTAAAAAGGCTTGAGTAGATAAACGAAAAGTTGCACTCTAAACCGTTTTTAATTGAAAATGGGATTTAATTGTAGAAGTAGTTTGTACATATGTAATGGCATATTTTCTGCTGATGCATAACCAATACTATATATACCGGATGGAGGAATTAAGACACTTGAATCTATATATTGAAACAGTCGTTAATACAAAGCTTCGTTAAATTGTACTTTTGACATTTTCCAATTTACAACAAAAAAGCGTCTAAAGAAATTGTCTGTGATTCAAATCTTTCGATTCTGCCGTGCATCAGGGCTAGTATAAGAATTCGTTTTACTTCAGCTGTTAGTTGAAGCTGATGTTCTCAACTTAAAGTTCTGAAAACAAACGTCTAGCTAGTCACTCACAATAACTGTCTTGGAGAGCTCTTGAGGCTAAATTATTTGTCAGTTTACTTAACAACGTATTCCCTTTTGCGAGCGTAATTCAAAATAATATGATTTATGTCCAGCTCTTTGTAAAAAGCTTGTTCTTCAAAAAAAAAAAATCACATAAATAATAATAAAGAACTATTATTTGCCTCACCATTGCGGCAAGTAAGTTAGTTAGTTACTACTGCCAGCGAAGTCCCTCTTGACACACACACACACACACATTCATATATACATTATGTTGCACACTTCATTTCATTTTGAACAAAACAATGCCAGCGACTATCTCATTTTGAACAGTCAGTCGGACAAGTTGGGCCATGCAGACAGAGCAGGACTGGGCCGGGCAGGCAGCCTAAAAGGCAGCAAAGTTTTGTGTCCTGCCACAACACGGGGCATGTAATAAATAAATTGCACAATGCCACCCTCCTTTTGGGTCTCTTAGAGTCCAAGTTTTTGCTGAATTTTCTCCACGTGTTTGTGTGGGAGCTGAAGTTGAATTGCATTCCAGGGAGATGGGTTGGAAAAAGCGACACATATAAAGTTATTTGCACAAAGACAATTGTTTCTAAAGACGCCCGACCAAGGATTACAAGCTCAGTGGTCGAGCAGGATAGTGCAGAGCACGGCAGCAACACCAACAACAATAAAGAGAGCAATAAAAACATCAACAAAAAATTAGATATAGAAACTAAAACTGAAACTGCAGCTGCGGGGCATGTGAATTGAGGCAAAACGGCAGCCGTTGCTAGCGGATAACGGTAGCAATAACAAAAATAGCAACAAAAATGTGCAAATATTGCAGCACAATTTTGGCAGCAACAACAACAACAAGAATAAAAACAACGACAATAGCAAACAAATGCTTTAAAGGAAGTTCGCACTATCAACAACAGATGCGCTTTTTCACATACGAATAACAGAACAAGACTCCAGGGAAATTGTTTTGTGTGACGCACACAGAAAGCAGAAGTCGAGCCTTCCCTGCATGTATGCCTGACTGTGTGTGTGTGTGTGTGTGTGTGCATATGTATGTGTGCGTGTGTTTGTCTGATTGTTGTCAAACAACAGCTGCTGCTCCTGCTGCTGGTTTTGTTGTTGCTGCCCCAACATTCCGCTTGTGTGCAACGCAATAGCAACTCTTTGTTGTCAGTCATTGAATTAAATGGCCACCTCTGAGCTGACATTTTCGACAGGCCACTTCCCATTCCACTACCTCGCCCCTGCTCCTCTCGCAGGAATTCCTGTCTACACCACACCTGGTGCAAGGCATTAAAAAAATGTTGATATTGTTTCCGGACTGCGTTGCTATGCGTTGCTGGGCTTTTTAGTTTAAAATGACAGCAAAACTGTGTAGAATAAATAATTTAGATACCCGTAAACAATTTGAAGGACCTTTTTAAGCTTTAGCTTTCAAGGGCACACACAAATATGTCTGCATGATGAAAAGCGAATAAAAGCTTTTAGAAAATCTATCGAATATTCCAAATGTTTTATACCATTTAGAGTCTAGAGGAATTCTACGATAACCTTTTTTTATGCCGTGGGTGTATTGAGCGGAGCAGGATTGGTGGGAGGATAATAATACGCGACAAAGTTTTGTGGATGAATGAACGACGTCGATAGCTCGACTGCTTTATTTATATATAAATTCTTATCCTAGTTCTTATGCTATCGCCTACATACTATCATCGATTCCTTATCTTCTACCATGTGTGCGTACTTTATCAGGTAGCTCATGTTAGCCAGCCGCAGCATGCTCATCCAGCGCGGTGGCGAGCCTGAGCTAATGATTTGTGTACTTACACATCCTTATCTATTAAGCTGGCGCCTGCCAGCTACGAAAATGTTGGTGTTATGTTCGGCATCTAAGGCCGAACTCATTATTATCTGTATACGAGAGCATGTCTGTTTATCGAGGTTTTATCTATAACAATATGATAATGTACCATTCGTGGTCTAGACAGAGCAAATCTAGCTTATCAATTAATTTACATTTACTTAGGATCTCGTTAGGATTGAACATGCTCCCCACCTTGAAAGGACTCCCTTTCAACTAGTATTGTTTCTTAAGTTTAATTTTAATTATACACGATTACATATATTTTCTTAGTTTTTAGGATAAACGTGGTAAGGCAAATGTTACGGGTAGAAATTGGGTAGAAAGTTGGCACATCTTTTTAAAGATGATAACGATCGCCACGATGAGACAAAATCCGACAATCCAGGAGGTGATGCTGATACCGTAAAGTGCCATTTGATGCGTATCGAGATGAATCGGGAAATCGAAGATTGTTTTGATCCTTGGGATATCGCGTACCTTATATGTTTTGATTTCACCCTCTATCTGCATATGGCTTATTTCCGGCAAATGGCTGGACAGATTTACTGTTGGTAGACGGAAGTTAACATCCATAGTAGTATCCTCGTATGCCCACAAGTTGGCTTCTTCAGTTTGTAGGAAGCATCCTGTATTAAGTTGAAGGATCCCTTGACCAAATATGGTGAGGCTTGTGCTATTTTCCTTGCAATGCATTTCCGCTGTTATTTTATTTGGCAGTGAAAATATCCAGGAGTTAGCCTTGTGAAGTTGAGCCCAATAATTTCGCGGGTTCATCACGTTTACCTGGCAGGTAGGCGGTAGCGTTTTTGTTTTTTGTATAAGTAATATGTCGCAATTTGTAGCAGCGTTAACGTTGTATATTGGGTGGATTTGCGGACATAATAGCAGCCTTTCCATCTTTTGGCAGTAATTCAGATTTCCTTCTGTTAGTCCATAGAAACTGGCTGAGTTGTCATCGACGAGTATTTGAGTAAATTCGGGCTGAATACTGACGAATTTTCCATCGTGTAATGTGGGATATGGATAGATTACATAAGCTCTCATTTTATTGTGATTTATTAATGGGATTCTTATGTTAAATAACAGTGAGGTACTTGTAGCCCTCGTCGTTATTTTTGCAATTTTACCCAGCTCGACGGGATCCGTATCTGGTAATTGGACGCCCTCAGGCATATTTAGAGCCATGACTTGAATCTGCTGCTCAAATTGCTTCAACGGCATCAAGCTCCCCAGAAAATTCCCCTTAGTGTTCCAGACTACTGCGATGATGTCCCGCTGCAACTCTTCGAAGGCATCCATTCCAATTGAAAAGCTTTCTAATGCGGAAAGAATGTTATCGTTGTCTAGTTTCTTATTTATAGCACTTGACAACGTATACATCGTGTTGTTAATAACTTTGAAATTGTCCCAAATGACTTCATTCTGTTTCCGCATAATGGTTATTGTAGAATCCTGCACTGATGACTGGTTACGAATTAGGTCCCGGAGATACTCCTCGTTGTCTCTGCTCTGGTTGATTTTGTTGAGCAATACGTCCGCATGGTCTTCATCCATTAATCCAAATACGGCGTGGAAAACGTTGCCCATGAAACTGAGCGGCGCTCGAGGTTGTCGTTCTTTCTTGCTCCTCTGATTTTGAACAATAATGTCATTATTTTGTTCTAGCCTATTGAATTTGTTTTCTAACAGCTTCATCGTTGAGTCTAGAGTTGTGTCTTTTTGAATCTTCTCCTTAAGATGTAGTAATACGGACCAAGATGCTTCTATTCGATGCTTAAATGCCCAATACTCATCCAGATTTGCGTGAATAATTATATTCCATGATGTCCGCGTTAATCCCACGTCGCCAACGTTCTCAAAAAATATCCCTGCCTTATTTTCTAAATATTCTATTTTTTGACTCTTAACATTGTTAAATATCGACAAAAATGTTAAAATATATAAAATTACATTCTTATTTTTTAACTTTACAGGCTTGGGTTTATACTGTTCATTTTCATAACTATTTTGTATTTTATTTGGGTTACTTGTTTGTATTGCGGTTGTAACTACCGCAGTTGACGAGTTATCCTCGTCTTCGGCAGGAAAAGGACAAACATTGTGCACCGACCTCAGCGATATTCCATTGCTTGTCCTTACTTCTACCATTCTACAAAGGCCATCTTTACCTACAATGGTCTTTGTGACCCTGCCCCTCTTCCAATGCATTTGGGCCAGATTTTCTTCCTTTAATAATA